CCACCTAGTGAGTTCGTGGTATATGGTTGCTTTCTTTTCCAAATACTGCTTAGAAACAATTAGTTGGGTAGAAGCTCATTTTATCATGATCAATGTCATATTGGAAAGTATGTTGTTTACCACAATCCGGAAAAAATTGTCACGTTCATCTATTTTATCACTATGATGAAGTGAAGTTGTACCTCGTGCCCTTCTCTCTATATCGCCATGAAGCCAGTTTGTCCATTCAGACATCATGGTATTCAATTATTCAACGTACGAATTCTACCTAAGTGATGATGAACCACAGAAGATGACAAGAGCATCAATAGTTACCTGGCTTAATCATTTGGCCGACGCTATCGAAAAAAATACAGCAGCCGCCCAAGGAGGTGAAGATGAAATATACTTCAGTTTTTGAATTATAATACTTGAAGAACTTGTTTCAGGTCGTTCCTGGCCCATAAGAATTAAACGAATGATTTATGAACTATACACAAACGTTGCACAGATGTTCGCCACCCAACCATTGTTGTCGTCATGCCTTTTTGGTGTACCGATAGCTTTTCTCAGCATAATCTGTTACAGGTGTGAGATTGTCTTTCACTTTAAAATTTTTGGAGTGCTAACTCGCATAAACTCTTTCTAAAAAGAGCCCATAAATGATTTGCTCGTACAATAAGCTTTCTAGAGATTTCTATTTGCTTTTGGTAAAAACAACCCTTTATTTCACTTATTTTTTGGTGCCATCTCTCATCTAGAACATTTGCACACAGTACCAAATCCATAGCGATAAGATACCTTGTTCTGGGATGGTGTGCGGTGTGCATCTATACTACGTTGTATCTTGCTCGGGTTTTCTTTGGCTCGCTTGCATTCAACAAAACATTATTTTAGCATCTGCTCTGCGGACTTCACAGTAGACCGAGATGAATTCTATCCAGAGGATGAAGATGAGGATTACGACGAAGCAGTGGAAGAAGACGAACGAGCTCACCTAGTTGACCCCAACCACCCAAAGAACGAATAATATCTCAGAAGATTACAAAGTGCTAGTCAAAGTAGCCCAAGAATTGCTCAGCGCCACCAGTCTTGTCAGTTTCTTTGTTTGTACATAATATTTGTTTTTTTTTCTTTGTCCTAACAAATTTGTCGCGTTTTTGATCTCTTCTCTAACTTTATATTTAGAAGGATAGGGTTTTTTTGCAGTTTATAATCTTTAGGAATATGTTGCTAAGTGTTGTAGTCTTTCTGTGGAAATAAATGTTGTTCTTCCAGGTTTGATTTAGAACATATTCAAATCTATCTACATCAATCTAAGTGTCGCTCATACAGGTCACTTGAGTGACAGAAGTTCCAGTCGCCGTCATCCAGGACCCTCCGGCAAGTGCAGAGCAGGTTAATTGTCCAATGGATGAACCTGTATCTACTGGGCCAGGCAGGGCAAGGTAATGGAAGTTTGTGTTTGGTCCACAGAGAACAAGGAGCCTAAAGTAACTGTTCATTGTATGATTACGTTCTGTGCTTTGACTGGGTAGATTCCTTTGCATCCTATTGCACCAAACTTACCAATATCGGTAATAATTTTTAAGCTTTACATT